TGTTGTTTTGAGTAATCACAGGTTATTAAGAGTGCAACATGGATTCTCCATGTTGTCCTGCGCAAAATAAAGAGTCTAGCCGAAGACACTAAAAGAGGACAACTTTCTGGGAGGCAACCCGGATATTTAAACTTTTACTTTTATGAATTTTATTACTTTTTTCTTTTCTTTTATTCTAGTCTTCACTTGCACTTTATCTGCCTTGTATGCTTCCATGTCATATCTTATGATTCCATCTCTCTCTCATCTTGCATTTGTTTTACAATTCTATATGTTCAATGTGGTTAATCATCTCATTAAGTATGTGCATTTGTTCATCATTCTTATATAATTGACATGCATTGAGGACACTGCATGATTTAAGTGTGGGGAGATGCTTCTGCATTTAGTTATGCATATTTTAGAAAAAACTTTTGTTTGCATGTTTTCATACACATACTAGAGCATGAATTGGGTAGAAAAATAGGATTTCATGTCAAATTTTATATTTTAGATGCAATTTGGTTAAAATTTTAAAGTTTTTAAAGTTTTTTAAGGAAAACAATAATCTTTCACATAAAAAATCTATATACGAAAAAAAAAGAATTTTAAGAAAAACTAGAAATCATTATAGTTTCTTTTAAGTGTGTGCAGTTTTGCATTAAATTGAAATTAATTTTGTAACAAATATGTTTGAATTTCTGTAAAAATGAGTTTGCTACTATAAAATTTAAATCATTTCTCTTAATTCAAATTTGATTAGAATTTATTTTTGTTTAATTTCATATCTTTTAATTAGTTAAATTCAATGTGAACAATTTATTTAGAAATACATGGAGCAATTTTCTAACTCTTTTTTGTCCTAAGTTGCTATTCAAGTAAAGTTAGTCTTAAGAAAATCTTTTCTTTTTCTAAATTTTGGTTAATTACATATTATCAAGATGCTGAGATAAATATATCATACATGCTGGAACACCATCTTAGGTTGGCATGGGTGGTACGGCACCTTTGTCCCCTTAAGTAAAAATAAGAAAAAAAGGGCAATAAATGACTGGGTAAAAATAAAAGAGTCAAAAAATGAATAAAAATATTGTTTTAGCACTCGAGTTGAAACCCTGGAATACTTCGTTTATTTAGGTCCCGGGTTATCTGGAATGGGCTTGGGGTAGCCTGGTTAAGACTCGCTACACGGGTCAACTCAAAAAATCGATATTAAAATAATATAATCAAAGCAAAAATTTAAAGTTTCCAAATTTTGGAAAAGAAAATAAATTTTCTTGAGCTTTTCTTTACTTGAATATTTCTTAGGATTTCTAACCATTTTTTTGCTGCTCTATACATCTCTTTTAAATTGTTCTTAAGGACCTTAGTTAATTTAAAGTTTTGACGTTAGATAAAAATGTTTTTTACTTAGCTTTGAAGTGAAAGAATTGTTTTAAATTTAAAGTAGTAAATTGATTTTTAAAGTATTTATTCTATTTGGTACAAGATTAATTTTTGGTTAATGTTTCATGCATCACTTTAGTTTGCTTTGAAATAGAGAATTGTTTTGACTTCTAATTTAATCAAATTGAAAAAGGTTTTCAATATTTAGTTTGCACAAGGGCGTGCAAAAGTCTAAGTGTGGGGGTATTTGTTAAGTCACAAAATATTATATTTTATTCCCTCATTTCTTAGTACTCTTAAGATATAATATGCATTTTATACCAAAATAAGCATATTTTCTAATATTTAGTATTTTAGACTATTGTTTACTTTTTATACATATAATGCATGATTCTAAACATGTTTATATTTGAGAATTAATTTGGACGTATTATTTTCCTTGACCCAAATTTTTTAGATATATGTTGGAGTACAAAAGTTGAAGAAAACAATGAAGTATTATTTTCCTTGACCCAAATTTTTTAGATATATGTTGGAGTACAAAAGTTGAAGAAAATAATGAAGATGGACTTTTGGAGCTAAAAAATGAAGAAGATAGGTGGGTCAAGCCCAAAATTGGACTTGACCCATAGTTTTCCCAGTTAACCCATGAGGCCTTTTATTTGACAAAATCAAACCAAATAAGCAAAGTATTCCTCCGTTTCCAAGTATTCGTCCAGTTTTGACTTTTGGAACTGTTCATCTAAGATTTTGACTTATCAAATTTTTTCAATGTGTAAGCCTAAATATTATCATATATATATATATATATATATATATATATATATATATATATATATATATATATATATATATATATATATGGGTTAATTGATTGTGGTGTTGACAAGTGTCCAGTGAAATGACACTTACACGTAGGCCTCATAAAACATCTGGAATTGCACTTCTATTTTCTCTCCGTCTCTTCTTCCCCATCTGCAGACGTTTGAATTGTTTAGTATTCCATCTTCCTCTTCAATTTTTCCTTTGAAAATTAGGCTTCTGCAACTTTTGTTTCTCATCGCCTCCCCAGAGATTCATTTTCTTCGCCGGACCACATCGGGGTAGAGACAAGACTACCGACTCGCCGGACTATGGTTGTTCGCCCCAAGGGACCTCCTCCTTGACATGCTTCGTCACTGAGAGGATCGTGGGATTTGTCTTCGGTCTTCTCCAATCTCCCGTTCAGGTTTGTGATTTTTAAACTGCTTTTACCTGCACAAATAAAATTTCAGGATATTTCTGAAAACAAAATGAAGATCTTTTCAATTACTTACTAATTGCTTCGTTGCCAGGTGGATTATCGTGTGCTGTATTACCTTAGGTCTCTTTGTATTCATATCTACATCTAATTGTTTTGCAGGTTCTTTCACCTTGGGGTATAAATATAATTGTTCTTCCTCATCATTCATTAATTTTAATTTTGGCATCACTCTGTTCTTTTCTAGCCGAAGGTATTACTTTTCAGCCCTTTTGGTGAGGTGTCTAATAGATCTAGAGGCCATGAAAACAGTAATCCGAGACGGATAGTAGGTCATGTGACTATGGGGGTTGGCTTGGGCATTTGGTGTTGGCTTTGGGTTTTAAATACTGTTTGGAGACAAATGATTTTGACTTTGTATTAGGGGGAGGGAATGCTCAGATTTAGTGAGTAGTGGCTAACAAGCTACATTTTATGGTATCTAAGTAGTTATGGAACCAATGGAAGTGTTTCACATTGGCTGCAGTCCTGGCCCCTGGGTTCAACTTTCCATGCTAAATTCACAATAGATGGGCTTGGGGCTGTTGTTTTAAGGCTATAGATGGAAATGGTATTTAGTTATTTTGACATTAGTGTTACTCTTAGGGTCATAGATATTTAGATTTCATAGAAAGTGTGGTCTAATTGCAGGTTTTTGTTGATATTCATGTAGTCCTCAAAGATCTAATGGAGATTGGCTGTCAGCTAAGTTTTTTTTTAATTTTTTAATTTTTTATTACATAATTATTTGAAGTTTTTACCTCTTGATGGTTTATGCGTCAATGAATGTTGAATTGTGCAGGAATAACCCACCTAAACAAGTAATTACCATCAACCCAACATATATTCTTGGCTTTAATATATTGTTCTGTCCATGAATATGTAGAACCATCTTCAGGTTATTGATTCCTTTTTAGCTCTTTTGAGGTGTGTAGTAAGTGGCATTTATTTTCTCATTGTATGTGTGTCATATACAATGCAAAGCACACTAATTAAGTGTCATATATATGATCAGTAATCACCAGAACTTCTGCATACAAAAAAAAAAGTAATCATCAGAATTTCTTAGGGCAATTTGGCTGTTATATCTGAATTTGGTATTAGTAAAACCTTATCCTTTTTCATGACATATGGAAAAAACAAGAGTCTAGAAACAGAGATATTAAAGGTGCCGAGTCAAAAATTGCATGCTATGGAGAACATCCGCATTATTTAATTATGTAATATGGGTTGAAAGTTTCTCATAGGATGCATGTATATATGTGGTTTAGATTTTTATGACTGTCTCTAATTACCACCATTTCATTTTTTAAATCAAATCTACTTTGGGGCCATTTCTTCTTTGGTTAAATCTAACATATACCTTAGGATGGTGATTTTAAGGGTGAGAGGTCCTCCATCATGTAAACCTGATTGGACATAGATATGTGTTTCACATAAGAATCATGCAGTACTATAAATCAGCAAACAGCCAAAGCTTCACAGTTACAAAAGTATTAATGGAATCCGTTTTATGAATGGAATTTAAGCATGTTAGCTTATTCCCAGTTTTTAGCTTATATCCATTACATTTTTTTTTTTGAAGTTTTTGTCATGTTCAACGTGGAGGGTGGGTTTAGTACTATTGCTGGAGGATCCCGAGGAAGCATTTACGAAACCTGTCAATGAGAGTCCTAATAGAAAGTGATGTCACTATAAAACTCTAAACATGTGTCTTTTAAAGGGAAATGACGTGGAGTGTTGACATATGTCAGCTGAGGTGGACAATGATGTGGAGTGTTTTTACGCTATTGGGCAGCTCTCCATTTTAGCCTTGCACAAACCCCCTCAACTTCTCTGGAGAATTCCAATCACCTCCTTAATGTCAACTCCACTTTGCTCCTCGCCGATCAGTTGAATGCCAACTGCCACGGTCCGTGGCTTCATCTAACCAAATCTCGACTCTATACTCTATACCCTGTTTTGTATTGACACCACAGTTTACCGTACTAATTGTGATGGTGCCTAGAAAGCCTTAAATTATGTGGATTTTGAATCTGCAACCAATGACATCACGCTTTTCCTTCAGACAGTAACCACCAACCCAGCCCTTTAGTGGCAATTTGAAGGCAAGTTTGTTACTTATTATATCTTCATACTCTTACAGTTCTTTCTGCATTACTTTTTTAGTGGAAACAGTGATGTTGGAGCATGCTCGCAAGGTGTTTGTTAAATTTACTCCTCTGGTATGATCTTTTTTCGACCATTGTTATCTCTTTTGTTACTAGATAAAGCACTTGCTGGTTTACTAATAATATTTTTTTCTTTAATTCATTAAGTTTCTAGGTATTTAATTCTATGGCCTTTTAGAATCCTCTTGCGTAGTTTCTAACTTTCCATTTTTTAAAATCTTATTGACTATATTACAATACAGTATACAGAGTAACTTTATATAATTCTATCTCAGATCATCTTTTTGACTTAGTTGTGTTTCATAAAATTGACCTCGCGAAAGGGAAAGATTATCCTAATAGAAGTATTTGTTTTCAAATAACATGTGTTCTAACAACCTGCATGTATTTCCAAGCAAGTTTTATCAGTTTGTTATGTTGTGCCACATAGAAAATCCTATCATCATATCATGAATAATAATGAGACGCTGAGTACTATCACTTTTGATGTGCTATTAAAGAGAAGAGAAAGGTTATTTTAGGCAAATAAGGAAGTGGTTGGAGAGCGTACTAGCGTAGCATTCACACGACAAGTGAATCGTTCCATTTCAATTGAGGACATGTTAGGATTGAATTGTGAGTTGTTTGCTTTTTCCATTGAATTTGGTTTTAGTATCTAATTTAAAGCTATTTGGGGTAATATTCTTTTTTCTCATTGTCTAATAAGGTTTGATTTTTTTAACTAACCTAAATTGTGTCTCTATTACTTTTCAGCCCTTTTGGTGAGGTGTCTATGGAATATCACGCAACCCAACTACGAACCCCTCATGCACCAATTTTATATGCAGGATGTGTTGTAGACTTGTATAATATAATCAGCTAATTTTAGGTTGTGGTACCATTCCCAGCTATCAAAATATCTGACGATTAACAAACAACATCATATATCTAACCCGACACCGCCCATTTGTTCAGATAACCACCCTGCAACATTAAGTTTTGCATCCATCCTAGCACCTGCAATGCTATGCCCACTGCCCCTTAGACGGTTCTGGAATTAAGAGGCAAAGAATTTAAATTCTACAAAATATCCAACATTGATAGCAAAATTTTTCTCCCAAGCATAATGAAATACGTCCATTCTAGCTTTGCTTTGAGAAACAAACTGCTTGAATCGTTTTTGATCAGTGAGTTGGACATCTTGAATGATATTGTTGATCTACAGCAGCCAATTTGAAAATATCAAATATCAATGTTACTTGCATTCTGGTCAAGTTTAATACTCCATTAGTCCCAAAGTGAAGATAATTTTGGGATTTTGTGTCAAACTTTGACCATTAATTTTTCTTTTAGTAAACAGTCAAAAAATATATTTTTTCTATTTTTTATATTTGTGGTGAAAATTTTTGGAGCTATATCTTAGCTTTTTATTTTTTTGGCTCTTAGAATGTTTTAATTTTGTTTTTTACTTTTCTTGAGGGATTTAGTCCTCCCCTCTTTGTTCTCTTCTGTTTGAGGGGCTTTGGTTGGCTCCTCTCCTTTATTATTTATCAATAACATTTCTTTCTTTAAAAAAATATTTATTAGGTCTACTGTTGGAAACTTCTTAGAGGAGAATATCGAGTCATGCATTCGTGATTATCCGGGAATAATTACAACAACCGGAAGTTTCAAGAGAGCACACAACTACAATCATGTCATATTTAAACTATATCATGTGTCCTAACATCAGGGAGAAAACATATTTTCAAATACGAGGCTATTGCGCGCTCATTGTTTTGCTCTGTAACTATCCCTTGGTTATATCAATCAGTGTATTGTGCACTTAATATCTCCACTCTAAATATTTCATCAACCATGTTCACTTGGTACTCTTCATGTATTCTCGAAGGACACATATGAGTGAGCATGTGCTTATATTGCAGGTCCTACCCCAAGCCATTGGGGACTTGCGTATACTGAGAAGGCTTTTTTTGAATTTTTCAGTAGCACTTCTGCATATAATGGTGAGTTTAATTAGAATATCACACGCTGATTTTTAATTTTTGTGCCAATTGATGTTTTTGCTTTTGTGCCTGACCTTGAATGGTTTCCAATTTCTTATAATACCTTCCACTCTTAGTGGTAGTCATATGATAATCAATATTAAGCTTCTCTTCTCTTGAAACTTGATTTCCACTTTTCTCATGCCCATCAAAAGTGCATGTTAACTACTTAGAGTGGACCAGTGAAGTATAATGCTTTTGAACATCTCAAGGTGGTTTTAAACATTGTAAGAATGACATTTAGCCGGCCTCAAGCATGATGCTGCCATGAACAACATGGCGTGTGAGCACCACACATTTACCCAAGCTCATTATCAATGGGCTGCACGAGGGACGTCCCACTGTAGCGAATAGTCCAGATAATGAGGCTATTTTAGTCTCAACTTAAGGTATATATATTGACTAAATGTTTACTTTGACCACACCATGTAGGTTTTTAGTCCAGATAATGAGGCTATTTTAGTCTCAACTTAGGTATATATTTTGACTAAATATATACTTTGACAATATAAACACTGCATCATCTAATGTTTGTTTCCATTGTCTGAGCATCAGAGCTAACCTATAGTACAAGGACGGCTTTCATCACTGCTTACATGTGTCTGTGGTTATGCACTGCTTCTGTGGTCTTAGATGATTATGTAAAAATAGGTTGGCTCAGTGCATCTTTGGAAGTCCTCACTTTGTTTATGCTGTCATCAGTGTTGATTTTTCTATCAAACACAGTCACATGGCCATGACTAACAAAATGCATACTTCTTATCCCTGCTTTTACTCCTCCCGACATATATAGCAGAGATTTCCCGTAGATATTGTCACATTATAAAGGCATCTACAAAAGAGATGTAGCGAGAAGGACTGAATCCTAAATCAACCCCGTCACAGCACCATATACCAAGGTATGGGCTACCAATCATTTGTTGTTACAACTTTTTTTCATATTTACATACAATGGTTAAGTTTTGTTCTACATGTTTATATTCGATATACTCATTGTTCAATTCTTTGAGTGTCTAATATCTTGAGATGATGATGGATCTCTTCAAAGTTTTGTAAATTTTGTAAAGATCAATTTAAACACTGCATAGAAAAATCATATGTTCCCTGTCAAAGATATATAAAACTGGTTGAATGAAGTTCAGTATTTTCGATGAGTAGGCTAAGAAGAAAAAGGGCAGTCTGCTGTTGCCATAGCTTGAATGCCACATAGAAGAAGAAGGGCAGTCTGCTGTTGCCTTAGCTTGATCTGGAGTGAAGATGATTTTGCAGAGGATCTTTTTGTGGATATTCAAGAGCTCATGTCTAAAAAAAATAAGGCAAGAAACTAGAGATATTACACTTCAAGCTCTAAAAGATAAGAAAAAAAGGAAAGCCATAAAGAAAGCTCTAAAAGGTAATATGAGAGGCGGTCTTCTTGGTTTTTCCTCCCAACTTTTACTTAGCTATATGAAGTTCGTTATTCTTTTAATGTTTTTTTGCATTTGGATTGATACAATATTTCTTTGAGTTACCTCTTAATAGATTATTACATAGTAGTATATTGCTTTGAGTTAGCTTACTACTGCTCTGCCATGATGATATTGCAGTGAGCTTAAATTACCATTCCCTGTGTGGTTGTGTGTTGGTTTTTTTTATGCTGGTATGTGGCTACACATTAGGCCTAATGACAATACCTTATTCAGTGCAGCCTTGAGATTATTTTATTGTTGGATTTGTGGCTACACATTACGGGTTAGCCAATTCTGTCTTTCTTGCCTATTCCTATCAGCAACTTATTACCTACTATACGTACTACTTTGGATAGAGTTTTAGATTGCAACTTAGTCCACATTAAAAATTGTTTATGATGGCAGTTTTGGCAATAGCTTGAAAGGATAACATTTACAAGATGCTGCAGATTTTCCCTCTTATTCTTTATTGAAGGAGATGGAGTGTTTATTTGGTGCTCAGATTTTCTCTCATATTCTTTATTTAGTGGTATTACTCGAGAGTTCTGATGCGAGAAAACTTGACTTCATTTTTAACATTTCGTGTTCAATAGGTTGGTTAGCCTGCACTACGACTGGTTCGGGATGTTGATATTCTTATACTGTTTTTAAGGTTTTCAATCTTTTCTATTGCTTTTTTCTCCTTTGAGGGAATTTGTTGAGGATCTCCCTCCTTTTGTACTATGTACTATTTTTCCTTTTTATTAAAACTCTCCTTACATACACACTTTAAAATATAGTGAAAAATGTATACTTAAAATTTATGAATCATATATTCATTTTAAAAACCTTTGAATTTATAGATATATTTTACGTGAGATTATACCAGCCCGTGCGAAGCACGGGGTAAATAACTAGTAGTCATGTGTGATCTTGTTTGATTTGTCTTAACATATAGATTATTAATATATAATCTCTATAATTTTTTAATATACAAATTACAAGATAAAATGAATTAAAAAAGTGCATTGGATGGTGTGTAAAAATGAAAGTGGACAAATATTTTGAGACGGTAGAAAAAAAGGAGTAAAAAGAAAGAAAGAAACCCAACATGAGAATAGATGCAGAGCAACGAAAATCGCGGAAGAAGAAGGCGCACGAAACAGATTCCTTCTCCGAATTCAACACAAATTCCTCAAATCCTATCCTGAATTGAAGACTTGGAGGCTAAAATTCAGGATCTATATAAAAGGAGAAGAGGACCTGCATGGGGGGTAAGAGATCGGGAACAGAGCAGAGAACAGACACGGAGCGAAGACAGAAAGCCGACCTAGGGTTTCGACCCTAGGTCCGACGCGGTGTCCGGCGATGGCAATAGCAGCGGTGGACTAGCAGGGACTGCAAAGGCTTTATCATCATAATTCATAATTCACTATATATCACCAATAAGTTCAATCAAATTCCCATTATAGTTCATAAGAAATCAATCCTAAGCATGCTCTTAATACCAATTTTGCAATAGATATGATTCAAGAACAGATTTCATCAACGATCATGCCGTTTGACACATTTTGATAATAATTAGTCTTATGAAATAATGAAGGATACATCCCTCTATAACATGATAATTTTATTTAGCCGGGTTGTGCATAGTCTGGTACACCTGATTAACAACATACTGTATACGTTGACGAGTAACAGCCAAATAATGCAAACCACCAACAATGTTGTGAAAATGAGTGTGGTCCGTGAATGGAACAGAAGACGTCACCATAGGTCGAGCCGCCATAAGAGTAACAACTGGATTACATTTGGGCATGCCTACCATCAAAGAAGATCAGACGCGTACTTTGTTTGACGGAGTATAATGGAATCCTTGGTACGCTTTACCTTAGTGCCAAGAAACATATGAAAAGGGGTGAGTTCTTTCAACTAGGGGTGTGCAAAAACCGGTCTGGACCGGAAATTAGACCTGACCCGGACCGGAATGGACCGGTCTGGACTGACCGGAGTAATCAGGTCCGGTCTTCGGTCTTAACAAATTTTGGATTCCGGGTTCCGGTCCGGTCCGGTCTAAAACCCGGAAATAACCGGTCTGGACCAGAATTTATATATATATATATTATTTTTAATTTTCTTATACCTATCCTGTATTCCTATCCACTAATCAGCCCAGTCCAATTAATCAAAGTATCAAACCCGTGAGGATGAAACCAATAATCTACAGCAGAGCCGTGACCTTTTCTCTGTCGTGACCTAGCGTAGAGCCTACATCAGATTGCCCGCATCTCTTTGCCGCCTACAGCCGCAAGTCTGCAACTCTTTAATCGGCACCACCTTCGTCGCAAACTCGTCGTCAATCAAGTCCTCCTTCGCCAGAATCGTTTCTCGTCCCCTTCTTTTCGTTCTCGCCGGAGTCGCCGGCCCGTTCTCGCCGGAATCCCTGGTTTCAGAGTGAGGTTTGCTGCTGACGGAAATGAAAAAAACAGGGAGAATATGTATACATTCAATTTCTACTTCTATTTCCTAGCAATGGTGATTCCTAGCATGACTTTATACTTAAAATTTCAATTTTAATTCTAATTTCAGATTTGTTGACATAGGATCTTAGATTCATGATTCATAAATCCGGTCCATAATAGGGTAAACCCGGACCGGACCGGAAAATTCAGGTCCGGACCGGTAACCAACAGGTCCGGTCTTCGGTCTTAAGAAATGCTTGATTCCGGTTCCGGTCCGGTCCGGTTTTGGACCGGTGCACACCCCTACTTTCAACCGGATGTCTCGGTGCATAGCTTGAGTAATTTAAAAAATTTGGGTTGGCGAGCTGCTTGTAATGACACTATCATTGTCGAGGAATCAATTCAACCAAAAGATCAAGCTTGTGGTTGTAGCCCAAGAAAGGTTTTTATATTCTAACATGCCCCATCACGTGCAGGCGTAGTCTTTTTTTAGTTTTGCACGTGAAACCTTACATTTTTTAAAACTGGATGATGCTGAGTTTTGAACTTGTGGCACAACCTTCATGGGCAACAAGGCTCTTATATTATGTCAAGGAACCAATTAAACCAAAAGTTCAAGGTTGTGGTTGTGGCCCATGAAAGATTGTTTATATTCTAACAATCATCAACGTAGACCAATATTATAACTGCTCCTCTAGAACAATGGTGAGTGAATATACTAATGTCATGAATACAACAATGAAAAAAGATCCTGCAAAAAATATAATAGGCGTGTGTACCACGCACGTGGGTGTTGGATATATGAGTCCTAGAAGCAAATGTATGAAAGTACCTTAATATTTATCAAGAATAAAAGGCCTTAAATATTGTTTATACATCTCGCATATTTATACATGGCTTTAGGTCATAGACTCAGCGCTCTGGTAGCATAGATTAGAACTGCGATGTTCTAATTATGAGGCTGTTACATTAATAGAGGCTATGTATAAAATGTCCTTAATCGAATATTATGATAATACGAACATCATAATATACTAAGACTAATACGTATGAGACAAGATAGCTATGTCTCATAGGCTATGGATATTGTGATATCTTAATCTATACGTAGGTACATATCTTGGATATGGTACTTGACTGACCCACCATGAGAATACTACATGGGTATTATTTTAAATGTGTTAGTGGTATTCGCATTCAACCATTGGTATAACTATCCTTAGACTTGAGGTCATTATGATCTTTAATATATGTTGACCTATATGCTTTGATTCATATCTAATATCATGTGAAATACTGGTGGACGTACAGTTATGTTTTGGGTATATCGTTAAATACATGTAAAGGCATGAATTACGTAGAAAAAATTCATCTCTTCCATTGTGATGAAGTGTAATGTCTTCGGGCCCACTGATTGATATGACTTGGGAAGTGTATGGTCATACCCAAATAAATTAATATATGTGATATTAATGTTATTTGAATCTCATAAGTCAATCTGAGAATCAGAAAAACAATGATTTAACTCTAGTCTCTAACAAGGTTACACTTCCCATACCTTGTGTTGAATCTAGACATTTGAGATTAAAGGATAAGATTGTTGTTAGGCGTGTCGTAGCATCTACAAATTAATTTATTATTTTCTTAACTTTTAACCCCCTTTATAATTCAATATTTATCCAAACATATAGATAGGGTAAGTATGGGTCGATCCCACGAGGAAAGATACTTTTTTGCGCCAAATCCAGAGTCACAACCACAAGCTTGATCTTTTGGTTGAATTGATTCATTGACAATGATAGTGTCATTACAAGCAGTTCGCCAACCCAAATTTTTTAAATTACTCAAGCTATGCACCGAGAATCCGGTTGAAAGAACTCACCCCTTTTCATATGTTTCTTGGCATTGAGGTAAAGCGTACCAAGGATTCCATTATACTCCGTCAAACAAAGTACGTGTGTGATCTTCTTTGATGGTAGGCATGCCCAAATGTAATCCAGTTGTTACTCTTATGGCGGCTCGACCTAAGGTGACGTCTTCTGTTCCATTCACGGCCCCCACTCATTTTCACAACATTGTTGGTGGTTTGCATTATTTGGCTGTTACTCGTCAACGTATACAGTATGTTGTTAATCGGGTGTACCAGACTATGCACAACCCGGCTAAATAAAATTATCATGTTATAGAGGGATGTATCCTTCATTATTTCATAAGACTAATTATTATCAAAATGTGTCAAACGGCATGATCGTTGAACTCGTTGAAATCTGTTCTTGAATCATATCTATTGCAGAATTGGTATTAAGAGCATGCTTAGGATTGATTTCTTATGAACTATAATGTGAATTTGATTGAACTTATTGTTGATAAATAGTGAATTATGATGATAAAATAGGCCACCAAAAAAACCTGGGCGGATCTGAGTTCAATTGAATATTGTGAATCACCAATAGGATTGAGATTAGAAATTAAGGTCATGCGACTGTCATCGCACACCTAATGGTCTCGAGAGTTAAAGCGTACATAAGGGGTCAGCCGTCACCCTCTGGTGGGAGCCAGTTGGGGGCCTCAACCCCCCCTCTTGAAAGATCTTTGGAGTTTGAGCATAGTTTCTGACGAGAGCTTAGATCCTAAGAATCCCATAAGATTGATGCGAGCCGTAGTCATTGTAGGTTTAGAGCAGTGGAAAGATGATGTGATTTATCTGTATGATGTTGTGTGATTGTATATATTTGTAGTGCTACTCTATGAATTTATTCTGGTGTTAAATATATTCTAACTCTGCTTTCAGCTGGCATGTAGTCTTCGTTATCTTGTCGTTGTTGCCTTTGACTGCACGCATGTAAGAATAAGAAATTGGAAAGTGGGTGGTTGGAGATGCTATTTAATATTAATTATTTTCGCTGGTTCATTTATTTTAACTCCAAGGATGTTTGTGTTGTTTTAGACTTTCGCACTTTTTTGTTGAATTACTTCGATATGACATTGTTTTTCAATGACAATGAATGTTTTATTTTAAAATGGTATTGGAATTGTGTGCATGTGGATACCAATTTGGGGGCAACCCGGTTCGCTAATCTTTGTGTTTGAGTTATGCAGGCTGGAGCACAGGTACTAGAATGGAGCTGGCGAAAGGAGTTTCGAAATAGTTGCTAAAAATAGAGAGTTAGATATTTGTTGTATGATGAACAAGCTTGAGAGTATATTTGCTGAGTATTTTTACATGGAGAGTTTTGGCAAATGCAGAAGAAACACAGACAAATGAGTACATTAAAACTCCCCCTCATGTTCACAATTGAGTAATCTTGAATATAGTCGATTAACCACTTACAAATAGACTCCCCCACCCTAGAAAATGAAAGGGCCAAAAGTGCCAACACCTAAAACATCATGAATAGCTGGGTATAGACTTTCAGAAGAACAATTAAATTATATGGGCCGTAGGTCGTTTTTCGATACAAACAACTGAGCTAAATACTAATAGGCAGCTAGGAATAAACTTCTAGATAGGCACGTTAACAAATGAGGTGGGTTAAACCTAGCTCCCATACCATGTACAATAGATAGTTCGTATTCAATAATGAAAGTTCCATCACTATATATATATATATATATATATATATATATATATATATATATATATATATATATATATATATATATATATATAGGTAACACATATAAATTCCTAATCAGAGTAGAATAAATAACTATGGTAATAATAGAATAAGAAAAGTAAAAAATATTATTATTATTCTATTTCCTATTATTTCTAATATTCCAAATGAGGCGTAGTAAACATTGTAGAGGAAGAAGCATGCAAGTTGAATGCAAAAACAAACAGGGACGAAGAGGGGAAGTGCTCTAAAAACAATCTCCAATATAAGTTAGAGAAATGTAAGTGACCCTGTCAAAGTTTATAACTTAATTTAGTTGATTACAGATAAAAATAGGGTTACACACTGAAAACAATTGGTATAATGTGTAAGGCACAATATTGTGGTATAGTATGGCTGCTTGGTGTACATAAACCACCGGCAGTATGGTAAAAAGTTGCATCACTCCAGACCGAACCGTAATCAGCCACTGCGAATAACCATTTCCATTAGCAAATCATTCCAAGAATCAATAGGCCCTGGCAAGCACCAGTGCAAGCACTCGTTAATGTTTGTCTTGTTCTTCCCATCCGCAAATGGTTGAAAGAATCTGTATGGACCCGGGTGCCCGTCGGGCCTCAACAACGAAAGTGGATTCACATCAAAGAGCATAAGCTTCACCCCATTGTCAGTTGCTTTGGCTGACACATTCTTGAATTCCTCTAGCTCAACATTACGAAGAATTCTGTTAACTTCACTCAACTCAAACTCACCTTCATGCACTGGTTCTTTTCTCTCACACCTCCCCCCTGTAAACCACTGGCCGTTCTCAAAATGATCTGGCGTGCTTGTCCGGAAGAAAACCATACCTCTATGCTTTGATGAAACAGCGTGGTTGAAAACATTTCTCAGAATTTCTCCATAGGCAAACCCGAAACCGAGCTCTTTCAAGTCTCTTTTTGGACAGTAGTGGCACCCTATTAACATGCCGTTCTTGATATACACAGCGGGTTTCATAAACCATAGACCACTTGAAAACACTACGTAGTCTAATTCATTAAATTGTTGAGTCCAATTCTTATCAAGCCTATCAAGATGCAGTTCTATCTCAGAGGAAGAAACTCCGTTTATGTCTTCAAATATGGCAGCTTCTGCCAAGAAAGGGGACCAAATGGCTGAAAGAGAAAAGTTGAATGAGGGAAAGAACCATCTCCTGGATTTGAACTCCTCATCGTGGTATACTTCCACTGCCCGTTCTACCTGAAAATAAGCTTGTCATGATCACACCCTGAAGTGAGATTATTAATGTCAAAAGACCATTTCCAAATTCCAATTTTTTTAAATTATTATTATTGCATTCCCTTAATACAAAGATGCAAAAAAGAGCCATTAGATTAGAGCAAGAAATAGAAACTGAAATTGCAAACATAGCTGTTCTAGAAGGACCAAATACGGTAACTGTAGGAGTATATAACAATCATTCCTGGGCCACAACCAAAAGTTTGAGCTTTTGGTTGAGTTGGTTCCTTGACAAGGTATCGGAGCCTTGTTGACTAAGAGGTCACGGGTTCAAAACTCAGCGCCACCCAGTTTTTAAAAAATTAAGGTTTCACGTGCGAGGCTCAAAAAAAGACTACGCTTGCATATGAGGGGGCGTGTTAGAATATAAGAAACATTTCTTGGGCCACAACCACAAGCTTGAGCTTTTGGTTGAGTTGGTTCCTTAACATAGTATCAGAGCCTTGATGACCAAGAGGTCACGAGTTCGAAACTCACCGCCACCCAGTTAAAAAAAAATTAAGGTTTCACGTGCAAGGCTCAAAGAGGTCACGCCTGCACGTGAGGGGGCGTGTTAGAGTGTATAACAATCATTCCTGTGCCACAACCAAAAGATCGGTTTAGGAACAGTTATATATTAAGACTCAAGCTCAATAAGCCGCCGATTTGGGATATTCATAGACAATTTTTATTTGCAATTGTCAGATGAAAATTGGAATGGGTAATGCCAATAAAACTCAACTACAAAAAAAAGAGCTTTTTTTTTTACCTTAGAGAGTATGCAAAGAATTGATTGGGCATGATTCCTGGATAATGAATCACCAATTAACCCCCAAGTTTTATTCCTCATAAGCTCAAGAAATCTCCCTGCATTGAATTGGGGGAGGGAACAACCACGTGGATTCCATCTCCAGTAAAGATAATTCGTATCAGGCCTACCATTCCTCAAACAGTTTTGATGGCCTTCAATGAAGGGGCACGACTCATTCGTATAAACAGGACCGCTTGGTGTTCGAATCCAATCTCCATGAAAAAGATCACACAGCCCTACATCCCTTTCGTCTATAAATCCATCAGAATACACATTATCAGCTTTGAATATTAACAACAAAATATATAAATAAATAAATAAATAAATAAAAGCACCAAACACTCTTCAAAACAGATGGATTACGAAGGAATGTGGAAAGAAACAAAACCAAGGCGTAAAAGCCAGCCAACAAAACAAGGAAATCAGATATCCATTGTCCAGGTCACGGTTTAGATATGGATGAATAATTGTTGGAAAATTCAGTTTGCTGTAAGTACTCGAACAGGGAAAAACAGCTTAATCTGCTCCAATATTAAATGGAAGAACCAAGATAGAAAATAACATACTTCATGGCTATAATTGAAGAGAGAAATCACATTGAATGCTCCTGCCACTTCAAACTTGAAAAGAACCCAAAATGCCAATTAGCACAAAAGACAGAAATTAGCCTTATGGTTTCTAAAGCTTCTCCTATAGCAATCAAGAAAACAAAATAGAGGAATAATATTTTGCTCCATAAAGATTGATGGAAGAAACGATCTACTTCTGTACTCCTTCAATTGTGAAAGGGAATTTAAAAAGCTTCTGCTGATAGTCCTGATACCAAGAGTGTTGCAACAATAAGTAAAACAGAGAAAGTAAAATAGCCATGCCGTGGATAACAATTGTAGGATAATATCTGCTCCTCTCTGCCAATGAAGTCTTGTAACTGCCACCCACTTGAACCAATTAGAAACAAGGAGGCTGACCTTCACTACTGAGATACCTCAAGCCACAACTAGAGAGTGTAGAAGCTACTGCCCTTTACGAAGGAGAAAAACTTCAGATGCAGATCAAAATTAAATAAACAAGTTAAAATCTGTGACGTGATTTTAGCTAGTGCCTTAGAGACGATTTTGCCTTCAATGCGGTTGATACAAGGCGTCGCCCGCCAAGGTTAATACGGAACCGTCCTTTGTGTGCAAGGTTTTGAAAGGCAAAAATTAGCCTCGAGACGGGGGAGCAAAATGCCTTGAGGCGTAAGCCTCGAGGTGGAAAGAGGCGTAAGCCTCAGTTCAATATGAAAAAAATAATACTAAAATATGTACACCGGGGTAAAACGAAATGCATAATCCATTCTCAAGTTAAATAAATGATAAAATCATAATTCCTAAGTTTTATAAAAAAAGATAGCCTATCTTAATTCTTAAAACACAAAAAATAGAAATATAAAAATTAAACACATTAACATAAAACACAAATGTCTGAAACCCATCTTCAAACCTTATAAATATTAAATATGGACAAAAGTTCACACAAAAAAAAGTTACATCATTCTTTGAAGTTTGAACCAAATTTTAAAGAGGGAAAGGGATGTTGGGAAAGAAGGAACCGAAAAAATTAAATGTTGAAAGAAAAAGATGAAAGAAATAGAAGATAAGCTATTAAATATGAAGCAATTGCCTAAGCGGCTACCACAAGAGTGAAGTTGTGCACTGAAGTCTGAAGATGGAGAGAAGTACGGTTGAAGATGGAGAGACGAAAGTTTACGCTAAAGTCTTGGAAAGAAGTGTTAATTATCTACTAGGTTTCTTAAGTTTTTCTTGAGAAACTATATAGTGCATTGGCCCAAAAAAGTTTTTGTAAAAGAAGACCAATAGCTTTTTAAAAATAACCATTATAATTCTTGAAATTCTTATTAAACGTGAGGCTTACACCTCGGTTACGCCTTACCGCCTCAAACTTATGCCTCGGCATCCCTACTGAGGCTTAAGCCACAGAGGCGAAATGCAACCGGCTTACCGCCTCAAGGCAGACCACCTCGGTCGCCTTTTAAAAGCATGTTTGTGTCCACCCACAGAAGGCAGAAGGAACCATACAGAGTATTTGCTCAGCAAAGAGGAAGAAGAAATCTTTGATTGTGCATAAACGAATTATTTTCTTTTGTTTCTCGTTTTTGCTACTCTCTGGCTGTGATGAAGGCAACTAAATAGTAAATTGGAGAGGCAGTTCCAACTAAACAAAGAGAGTTTGAGAAGTGTGGGTAAGGCCAAAGAATACAGATCAAATATTTGATTTGAATGGCTCAAATGCTATGTTGTACTCTTGAATGGGTCATTTGAATGAATCAACAACCACTTTGGGTAGGTCACTAGGTCATTAAAATAATCACAATAAACAATTAAAACTTTCAGAAAAAGATGGAGTCAAAAGTACACACTCTAGCATTGCATTATCCAACAATCCCCCACTAATTCAAGGATGAGAGAGTTAAACAAGACATAAGTTTGGCGTTGAGCAATATAAGGTTTGATACTTAAGTGCTAGTACATGTGTCATTTGAGCCAACACATAATGAAATGAGATCATCCCGTAATGCATCAAGGGTCTAATGTACACAGGGATAAGGCTGAGTACATATCAATTGCCGTACACAACTGTTTGAGTTGGGATTATACTAGGTTTTGTTTCTGCAAGTCACGGTTTAAACCTAACATGGGGAACAAGAAGAAACCACACACAAACTTCTGAGCCATCACTAAGGACAAATGTGTGAGTCAAAATACAGCATAAGGAATTTAAATTCATCCAAGTTGGTTACCCAATTATAACTCAGCATACAGAACATATTAGGAAAAAAAACATTCCCCAAATGGGCATTTGATTTTTTGTACTTACTACTTAGCCGTTCATACACTTAAATTCTCGAAACTATTTATGCACTCATTATGGCATTTAGAATAAAGAAAGTAGGGAATGCATTGTATTGTGAATTATAACTCTCCGAAACAGTTAAACATCCCAACAGTCACTCCCCCCAATATGAGTAGACTCATGGTACTTAAAAAAAGGTTAGAACTGGAATACCTTTAGTGTCAACAGTTTGGTCGGGAATCCTATTTTCACGAATTATGATCCCAGTATGTGCCACTTGAGGAACATCAATGGATCTAGAGAAGATTAGCCTAAAAACCAGAGCCGCCACAATAGCTCCCACCCCCAACTTCAAAATATGCAGCTTCGACTTGCTCTGAGATCTCCACCTACTCTTCCAATCCGCCGCCATTTTATCTTCCTTCTCTATTTCTCACTTACTCACTCGCACCACAGAAATATATACTTACCGCAAAATCTAGTAAATGGTTTAAAGAAAAATAGACGCTCCCAGACTAAAAAGAAAAGGAATTCCTCAGTGCCGAAGCAATCTTTGAGCGAACATGAAAACTGCGGAGAATGTTTGCTTGCATTCAAATCCAAAATACGCGCTTTGGGTTTTGATTTTTGAATCCAGAAATGCAGGATGACGCAGCTGCTCGCTGCCGAGTAGGAATGGATTCTTCCATACCCCCTCCGTATATCAATGGACCGACAAAACAAAGAGGACATTCGTTTTAGGGAAAAAAAGTCATGTAGGGAGTAGAAAATGAAGTATTCTCTCATTTCTCTATTCCTCTCGATCACACCCAAATTTTCCTTTTTGTTTAATTTTTTTTATTATTTTTTGTATAATACTTTGACTACTAACTAGTACCTTTGTCCACCATAAATCTTTCCAGACACTATTCATAGGGTCAAACTTTATTCACTTTGTTTGCTCATTTTTACTAGTTATTTCGTAAAATAATATAGTCTTGTCACCTCTAGTTTTGTAGAACTTTTCATGTAGTTTATTACTATATAAATTTTATTTTAAAATTTTACTCCTATAATCAATTAAATTGAATTGAAAATAAAGTCGGTCAAGCCTCGTAACGCGTAATGGGAAGATCTTAGGGGGACGAAGGGAGTATGTTTTAAATAATGCATACGGTCAGTCAGGTTGGGTTCAGTTGCATCGGGTTTGGGTCACTTCGGGTTCGGGTCACTTCAAGTTCGGGTCTAAGGATGCGTGTTCATGACACAGAGCTATCGGATTCGGGTTGACCCAACGGGTTAAGAAGCGTATTTAAAAATTGTAAATTTTACATTTAGATATGAAGTGATCAATGCATTTTTCAAAATAGAGAAAAAAATCATTCAAAACAACAACAAAAAAGTAAACGTAGCAAAAAATTCTAAACATCATCATGTCCCAAATGAACCATCCAAGCACACTAATCAAAATACCAAATAATTTAGAGTTCAAACAAAATGATTAGAAGTTCATTCTCAAGTGAAGTCATTCCCCATATCAATTTGATGCTTATCACGAGTAGAACACCTAAAATCCAACTCAATGCCTTCTTCAAGTTTGTCACGTTCATCTACATATTAATACAATAACACATATTAGTTTATAAGTGTAAAATAAATTGAGGCTTATATATTAAATTACCCTCATCAACATCATAGCCAAATATCCAACTACGAGTGGTAATCAAAGCTTCTGCATTCTCTGGCTTAAGTGATGCTCTCCACTTTGTTAAAATTCTACCACCTAAACTGAAAGCAGATTCAGATGCAACTGTGGTGATTGGTATGCTTATTATATCTTTTGCTATTTTTGCAACATCAGGAAATCTTTTAGCATTGTCCTTCCACCATTCAAGAAAATCTAAAGTTTCATTAGGATCCACCTTGAGTTCTTCCAAATATACATCCAATTGGGATTTAAACCTAGAAGTTGTCACTCCATCAAATGCTAAAAAAAGCCTACATACAAATTTTAAAAGAGAAATGAATACCAAAAACTGTGCTAGAAAATCAACAAAAACTCAGGTCTATGGGTTGATTTCATGAGAAATAAATACTGGAGGGATGGTGCCTTTAGTATCAAACCTACAGACTCTCCAACATGGAGGAGAATTGCTAAAATTCACACTTTAGCAAGAAACTTCTCGTACATTTCCGAAGATCAATACACGTGGAGGAATGGGGAATTCTCATTCAGCAAGGCTCTCTCAGCTTCCATTAATGGTTACTGCACTACTCTCTCCAGCAAATTGATCTGGCATAAACTGCAGATCCCCAAAATTAGTTTCTTTCTCTGGAAACTACACTCTGACGCTCTTCCCCTTTCGCATAACATGAAAAAACTCTCGTTTCACCTTCCTTCCATCTGCCTTCTATGTAAAAGAAACGAAGACTCGCCAGATCACTGTTTTCTTCACTGCCCGGCTGCCAAGGAAGTTTCGGAACACTTTATTAACATCATAAAGGGTCCAAAAATAATCACAATCTCAAAATTCAACAATACCTTTTGCAGTGGTTCATCAAAGCAAAAGGAAAAAGCTTCACAACACATCTTCGAAGTGTAATCCCAGGAATAATTGTGTGGAATCTCTAGAAAGAAACCAATAAAGCATACTACGAAGACACCCCCAGCTCTTCCTCTAGAATGATTAACACAATCCACTGGGAAATTCAAGGAGGGATATGGATTAACAAGAAGAAGAAATGGATGATCTCTGAAGGAAATGAAATCTCACTACAAGAAAATAGGGATACAAGGACACTAATTAAGGACACATAATTTGAGAAGTGTCATTAAAACCCATTTAGGACACCTAATTTTTTTTTGACGGAAGACACCTTCTAATTAGTTAGAGAGTATTGACAATTTTTTACGGAGTAAATTTTATCGGGTCTGGACTCCATTCGAAATATCTCTCTAGGGTTCCTATATCCGCCGATTTCAATCGTCTTCTTCGCTTAATTCAGTGTCTTCTCTAGCCTTACACAAATCGTTCTTCTGCATTCCATCTCCCATGCACTTAAACCTCCATTCTAATATTAATTAATTTGTGTTTCACTCTCCCTTTTTCGCTCAAATTTTGCAGGCTGAAGGAGATTTCCGATCTATCCAACCGTGACATGGAGCTGAAGCGGGAATTAACCAAGACGACTCCAGGCTTAGCAGCTTCGGCCTACGATGTCGGCCGATTGGAGTCACCGGCTCTAGGGTAGTGATTGATTGCTTCCATCTCTAATTTCCCATTTAATTCCTCTTTTTTAATTATTTTCTACTCTGGTTTTTATTGTGTTAATTTTAGCAAAGATGGGGCAAAGTTGAAACTTATGTATTCTATTTGTTTTTCTGCAATTGGTCTTTGTTTGAGTTTTGAAATTAAAACAAACACCTTCCAATTAACAATTATAGATTAAACCCCTGGTTAAACCTACTAGGATAAGAGTACATCTTCCATCACCGTAATACTCATAGATCTCACTTTTTCCTAATCGGTTCTGGTTGAATATGAAGCGTTTGAAGATTGGTTTTTATCCTTTAATGATACAATCTATCGAGTTTAATCGAAACTTTCGAATGAAACAGAATGTCCCTTATGGGTAAGTTAATGTATATTTGGAGGTACTCCGAAGTATATTTTAAAAATGCGAGGTATCCGATAGTTAGTTTCTATGAGGTACCCAGCAGTTAGTTTCTCAAAATATGGGGTACCCAGGAGCAATTTTGTGCTGTTTGAGTAATAAATAAAAATATAAAATTTTAATTATTAAGTTTGGAGTGCTTAACCTGTTGGGTAAGACCTGACCCGACCCGAAATTTTACGGGTCCTCAGGTTTGGGTTATTTTGGGTTCGGGTCATAAAATTCATGTTCAAACCCCACTAATTTCAGGTCGGGTTTCGGGTAAAAAACGAGTCGGGTCATATTTTGCCAGATCTACATCCTGTTAAATATGGCAGATATATTTCTCATTCTATTTAGAATATTTTGTTTCCTTATTGACCTAAACTATACCTCGTCCCGTGTATGTATAAATATCCCTATATATGATGAATGAAGTACTGAGTTTACAACACGATACTCAAACCCTAATTTTTTCGCCTCTCCTGTTTGTTTTCGTCGTTCTCCGCCCTGCATTGCAGAAAAAAACCATCGCTAGTCGTCGTCGAACATCGCCATCCTCCCCCTCATCGCGCAGAAATCGAAGGTAAGCACGACAGTAGCAGGGGCGGGACGCAGAGCAGCAAGGCAACAACATTCTTCTGGGCTCTGACTTCGGATTCCAAAATCCCCATATTTTTTCGGAAATTTCAGATCCGCACAACAGACCGGGTATCTCAAATTATCAGATTTAATCCTTTAAACTCATAGTTCTATGTTATAATGCCTTGAATCTGACCCGTTACAGCAGGGAGTACGAGGGTCTCGCTCTTCCCGACGGTACACAATGTTGATGTATTGGGCCTCTAATTATCTGTTAATTCTGTAGTTTTGGGCCCAAGTCTGTTAGGGTTTATCCAAGCACTATTTATATGGGTGCTATCACAAACCATATGTTGTACTCTGTTCTTTTGCCTCTCCATTCGAAATAAAACTGCTCCCCCTCTTCCCGTGGACTGGCCAACACAACGTTGGTGAACCACGTTAAATCTGTTGCAGTGTTTTTCCTCGTTTATATATTTGTTATTCTCGAATTTCTACATAACAAATTGGTATCAAAGACTCCAGGTCAATCGGTGTTCTTGGAGATTTTTGAGATGTCTGCTTTGAACTGGAAAATCGACAAATTCACAGGGAGGAACAGTTTTAGTTTATGGCAGATCAAGATGCGGGCTTTGTTGAAACAACAAGGCTTCTGGGCGCCGTTGTCGAAAGACAAAAACGTCATCGCTACTCGTGAGATGGCGACTCTAGAAGAGAAGGCGCACTCGATGATCATGCTGTGTACATACGTCATGGCTACACTCGATGATCATTCGGTGACCCTTACCAAACAAGCCCTGCCTACATACGTCATGGCTGCAACTATAATCCATCCTAGATTCAAGAAGAGCGCTGTTTTCTAGGTTAGGCTTAATAGCCACATCACAAGCTCGTCTAAGTTGCTCATGTAACTCGCCAATCTTCCTGAGTAGCTCGACTCTATCTTTCTCTAAACCCACAACTCTACTAAAACCACTTGAACGATCGCATTTCGGAGATGCCTCTAAAGGTGCATAGTTTATGCCTCTCTTTTGCCTTGCCAGTGCTTGCATTGTATAGCCACGAGAACCCAAAGACACATTCCCTTCCCGACCCCAATTCCCATTATCAGTTCTAGAGTCCACATATCCATGATGTCTTATGTTCATGGGAGCATCATTCCTGCAAGCCCAATCATCAACATCTAGATTGAGTTTAGACAATCCGTATCCATCTCTATTGATTGATTTATCGCTTGCACGTTGACCAAACCTTGCCCGAACCGGAACAGGTTCCCTCTTTCCACCTCCAAGGCAATCGGCCAAAACATCTATCTTCTGAGATCTTGAAGTCGAGCAATTATGCAAGTCTACTGTCCTATTACTATTTATTGCTTCCAACCCACCATTTGCCCCCCTTTCATCGCTTTCATAATAATTGTCCAATTTCATTGCAATGCTCCCTTTGCCAAAACCTACCCCAAGGTTTTCACCGTCGAACAATCCACCCTCCACAAGTCCTTTCCTTTTTGCTGCAACATCAAAAAACATTAGCCTTCTCAAAAAACAAAACACAAGCACACATCTTCTATGAGCACAGGTGATTATGGATTGGAAAAAGAACTGACTTCAAGATCATAAATGTGATTATAAAAATTGATATGATCAAAGTAAATATAAATCAAATCGAGAAGGGCGCCACAGCACCCACAGCTGTAAACAGGCAAGTCGGGCAACTCAGGGAGGAGATTTGCACACGTAGGGCATCGGACAAACAGAACCTCTGAAGAAGAGGAAGCAGAGGCTCCTTCCATTTCCGAACTGGTTATCAGCTTCCCGAGGAAGAGAACAAAACGATGGAAACTGGAAAAAAAGGTGAAACTCAAAAAGAAAGTGCGGGTTTTAGAGCTCTTGCGGCTGAAAACAGAGCACAGAGTGAAAATAAAACGCGGCTAAACCGAACATTGAATCCGTGTTTTGTTGGCTATAGGTTTTGGAGAGAGAAAGGAAAACAAGGAAGAAAGGTTCTCCAAGACCAAGACTGAGCGCGTCCAACTTCCAGAAAAGAAAGGAACAAAGTTATAGGAAATAATGTACCATTATGTAATTATTAGGGACCATGCTACATTCACACCATAAAATGTACACCATTTGTACACCACACTTATGCACAAACATTTTGACGGTTTACACCGACACAAGTGTTGGTGCGTTATAAAAATTTACACGGACACACAGTGTTGGTGCGTTAACAAAAATTAGTTTTACACCAACACAAAATGTTAGTGCAAACTTGTGGGGTACAAATTGGGGTATAAGTGTTGGGGTACACATAGCTTAATCCAATTATTAGTCCACTTTTTATTAAAATATTTTATTAATTGAAACTATTGTTATTAGTACTTAATTAAATGACCATTAATTTTGTTGACAATTGACAAATGACATTATGACACATTTACATTCTTTAATAATGTACCATTATGTAATTATTCATCCACTTTTTATTAAAATATTTTATTAATTGAAACTATTTTTATTAGTACTTAATTAAATGACCATTAATTTTGTAGAATTTCTTTGTTTTTAAATTAACATATCAATATATATTTCACCAGTTTAAAATATATTTTGTCACTATTAAAAAACTAAAACAATTAAAATTATATTTATAGAATCTCAAAAATTTAGAGTATAGTTAGAAATTAGTAAAGTTTTAAAAAAATAAAATGAAAATAATGATTATATAGAATTAAGTTTAATATTCATGTAAAATACAAAAATATAGCAAGCGAAAGGTTTATAAACAAATTGATCACTTATTTTATGTGTGTTGGTAGCATTACATATGACACATGGAAAAAAGGTGTCATTTTACTAATATTTATTAAAACATTATTTTATAAAATAGTTATATAAAAACATAAATAGTTTTTCAAAAATATAAAATCTACATAAGGTTTGAAAAAAACAAATTAATTTAAACCGCACTACATTGGCGTATAGAGACATACTACGTATATAATAAAGTATGAAAAAAGTTCTAAAATAAATTATATAACTATTAAAGATGCATATGTGATAAAGTTTATACTAAAATTTGAATTAAAAATGTAGTTAATAAAGATGCGTAGGGAAAAATGTATGTAATTGTTTTTGGAAATACTCAGTAATAGAAAAAATAAATGGTACCGTGCATAGTTTTAAAATTTATATACAATGTTTTTTTTTCAATTGATAAGGTTTATATTATTTTTTAAAATAACTACATGCTTATGAATATTTAAAAAATATAATGTCATAATGAAACGGATATTTTTTTAAATAGTTTGAAAAGTGAAGGGTATAGAAAAACTATTTAGGAAATCTTAAAAAATGTAATTATTACGTGTATATTTGTTTTTCATATTTATTTAAAAATCTATAAATAAAATTTTTAAGTATTACGAATATAATTATGTGGCTTTTCAATTTTCTTCACTCTCTTAATTAATTACCTCATTTATATAATAATTAAGTGACATAAAGTTGATTAAAATAAAATTAAGGGACATGATGTGGCAGCACATTTGGCAATAAACATGATGCCGTGGCATGACACATGTCGCAATGGCAATTAATCCGCTCAACTTTATAAATATATACTAGTTTTCTATCCCGTACTTCGCACGGGCTCGTATAATCTCACGTAAAATATAACTATAAAATTCAAAGCTCTATTTAAAAAAAATGAACTACTCAAAATTTTTATCGATGCATTTTTAAATATGATATCTTAATGTATGTGTGTGTAAGAAAATAAAATTTTATTAAGGAGAAAATAGTACAAAAGGAAGTGAGGGCCAAACCAAATCCCCTCAAAGGAGAAGAAAAGCATAACAAAAGATTTAAAAATTTTTTAAAAAAAGTACCAAGGGAAAAGACCAAGCAGCAAGAAAACAAAATCCTAATAAGCTACTCCCTCCGTTCCACAAAACCCTTTCTCTTTCGTTTTTTTTTTTGCTTTCCACAAAACACTTCCACTTTCTATTAAAAACCCACTTTTACCCCTACTTTTTCATACCATACCTATCACATCATACTTTTTCACTAATAACTAAACTATCACGTCTTACTTTTTCCCATCACATCATGGGCAAAATTGGAAGTCAACCAAAATTACACTTTCCTTATTTTTCCCCAAAGTCAAAACCGAAAGGGTTTTGTGGAACGGAGGGAGTAATAAATAATACTACAATCATTGCAAATTCTCAAAGGAGATCAACATTGCAACATTATTACCAAACAAACTCAGCATCCCAAGTCACTGTAGCATTGTACCCTAACCAATTTGATGTAAACGAAAGCAAAAAACAATGCCAATTTTCAATGCTTCAAAACTCTTAAGATGAATAGGTAAGTAAGACAGAAATAACTAAGATATTGTCATTACCCATAATGTGTAGCCACAAATTCAGTAATAAAATAATCTCAAGGCAGCATTATTTAAGATTTTGCCATTAGCTCTAATGTGTAACCATAAATCCAGCAACAAAAAAACAGGAAAAGGAAACTTAAACTTACTGGCAATGTAATATCATCTTCACATAGCAATAATACAATTAGGAGTTAACTCAAAGCAATATAGTAATAGTCCATAAAGAGATATCTCAAAAAAATATTGTAATAATCCGAATGCAACAAAAATATTTAAAAGGGTCACTTACTTCTTTTCACTACTTGCTTTTAAAGCTATTGCTCTTTTTTTAAGTGGCTTTCTCTTTTCTTTTACCTTTATTCAGCTTGGAATGTAATATCTCTAGTTGCTTGTCTTTTCCTTTTCGGACATGAGCTCTTGAATATCCGTAAAAGATCATCTACAAAATCATCTTCACTTAGCTCCTACTAAAGCATTGCTAACTCGCTATTTGCTAGAACTTTGGCCTTGCTCCAAGTCATCGTTTGTAAGGGGGAGTATTCTTATTGTAGAGTTTAGGTAGCACCAAAAATTGATTTCCTCTCGAGTATTTCCAATGCTTCTATGGGAGAATCATTGAAAGTGGTGTCATCAAAATTAAAATGATTGTAGAAAATGGGGTTGTCATTTGGAGGATCTTTTTTTTCCAATGCATTTAGCCGATGAACCAGACTCTGTGTAAATACTAAAATGAGTTTGATTCTTCATCTCCATCAACATGAAATTGCTTAGTCTTCTGCATCCTCCTGATCAGAACAACCATTATATATACATATGGTTCATATTTATAACACGGAAGTTATAAAAGGCTTATAAGCAATAATTAACAAAGTGCGGGCTTAACTAATGTTATAAAAAAGGATGAACAACATAGGACTTCGTGCGTACCTGAGAATAGGAGGTGAGAATTATCTCAAGTATAATTAGTATGAGTATATGACATGACTTATGAATTTTTAAAAACTTAATTTAAAAAAATAAGTTTCAACTTATTAAAGCATGAATCAACATAAGGAATGAAAACCATACAATTTTACTTTTTATTAAATTATGCAAAAAAAAATGATGAGAAATAATTATAGGACAAACAATATAACTACAATAAAAGTGTGTCTATTTCATGAGATTCAAAGATATGTTAAAAAAACTTGCAATCATATTGGTAGTTAATCACATCATAATGGTTAAATGAAGATTATAAGTCTCTATGGAGTATATACAAAATTGGTTGATGACTCGAGGGAGTGGTCCAAGTGAAAATTCTATAAACAATAAATGATTTACCTGCATCCCAAGTAATGTTGTCCAGACTGAAATTAAACAGCAAAAATGAGGGTAAGTAGAGTGAAATGAATCTCTATGAAGCATACTTACATCAAAGTATGTTGTGTATAAAAGAAACACGTAGAGAACATATAATCAAGCTCCAAGGTTATACTTCTATATAACAGAAGTCAATTAGTGGTGAATGGAGGATACGGTGCTTCCAAACAGGATGATGAAGAAGCAAATTAGTGGTGAATGGCAATTCAACCCAAGTTCGTAAACGACCTGACCTTCTCAATGTGGGGGAACAGAGCAAACATAAATTATCTTCTTTATAGAGAAACAATGAGTTAAGCATGGGAAGTCATCAAAGAGCTAGGTTCATTATAAATGCATAAATAGAGAAGGAAAACACAGTATTAATGTCAAACCATAACAATGGAAAACAAAATTTGCTAGAATTGTTACATATAACAAATCTTCCAAGCATCAGACATAATGATTTTGTTCCGCCGGCGTCCTTAATTGGATGCCGAATATCAATTGTCGTCCATGAGCAGGGCTACATTTTTATAAAAATATAAAAAAGCTGTACAATAATGGTGAAAAGGCACTGAAACATTCCATGAATCAAAACACAAACCTAACAAAAAGAGTTGTTAAAGTAAACCCAATTTCTAAAGAGCAATACACAACCATCAAGAGACAATAAAAAATTGGCAAGACTACGTAAAACATATGTGAAAATCCCTAATAGTTGGATTTAAAAATTCCCAAGTTCCAGGCATGATATACAACCGTTTCTGATTACATATTCAATAAAAACCTATTGGCAGGGTTATGTGAAACATATGTAAAAACCCCTCTAGTAGTCATTTGTAAAACCCATTTGAAAATTAAGAAAATTGAATAAAGAAAATCTTTAACAATTCTATTTTAAAAACCCAAATTTGCAAACATGATATAGAATCTTTCTTGATTACATATGAAATAAAAACCTAAAAAATAGGAATTCAATAAAAATAAAAAAGAGAAGAAATGGATTTTGGAGATACCCTAATGAGTGGTGGCGAAGGGACAACTATAGAGGCAGAGAGGCGGCTAGAAACTGGAAGGCAAGCAGGCGACTATTTTTTTCAGAAATTTTGGTTGGAATTGACGATCCAGAGATATGTTCCTTTGGAGGTGAAACACCAATGAGAATGGAGGATTTTAAAAATTGGTGAGTCAGCAAATGCAAGCAGAAAATACATAGAAGGTGAAAGAAACCGCCTGAGTAAATGGTTGCTAGCTAGGTGCTATGCAATTGTTGAAAAGAAGTTCCCAAACAAATGAAACATAATATAGCATCCCAATATATACGATTATCCGAAGCTTCAAATAAAATTTGCAGTGATAACATGGCAGCGTAAAAGCAAACACAAATTAAGTGAATTTAGTTTTTATACCTGGTGAATTTTCTTCTTATTAGTAAAAAAGAGTATCCAGGCTTTAAAATTCAGTGGATCACTCAATGTTCTCTTTCTTCACGTTAGTCAGAATAGTGATCGGCATGTGCTTGCCTCTAGCGCTAGCCTTGTTTCTCTTGCTGTACCGATTTCTCAAGATTTCCCCTGTATTTCTTTCTTAAATTCATCATCACCAAATATTATGATTCTTGCAGGCCGATCGTCTTCTTCTTCTGGATCAAAGGAAAATATTATATTTAGTCCTTCACAGTTCCTTTAAGCAAGTATTTTATTTATTAAGCAACCCCTTCGATGTTCCAAATATAAAACCAAGTTCTTTTAGATGCTCAATAATCAATCTTGTCAAATTGTAAAGAGACATGGCTCACAATATGATAGAAATCTGAATATAAGGGGAGTATATAAAAGTGTCACCAAAATCAGATTGACAAATAAGCATATGTAAGAATTATCTTCTGGGAGTGACACCATTTGTAATAGCCACTGAAATACAAACTACTTCGGTACTATATTCTACCTTCATGGCGCGTATGATCAACAGAGCCAAGAATAATACCAGTAAGAGAAGTATAATATATGAACTTGTGCTAGATTTGTACTGGTGGTTGAGACCTCAGGATCTTATCTGCTAGGCCATCCATTTTTTGAAAAGCCTATGAACAAACTCTACATTAATACAAATGACTTTATCAACACAAAAAATCAACTGGTGAATAATGAAACAATACAAAAACTAACAAAATCTAACCTTCACTGACCTATTGTTAATAAAGTACGGTTGATTATGCGTAGAGAAGACCTTTTTCTTGTCCAAGACTGCAAATTTCACACCTTAAAGCAAAAAATGCAGTTAACATGATAAATAAACTGAACTCCCAAACACCAAAACCGAATAAAATGTTTAAACAACGAAAGCAAAGAAAATTATACTGTGAGGTTATAGAGAACATGAAACTGTAGATTTATTGAACTTAATGAGTATTTAACAGGCTCGATTCTAGCCATGCGTAAGGGCATGTTTTTTGCATGTTTGCAACTTTCAACTACGAAAGTCCAACTTAGAAGGAAATGCACAATTAACTTCATTAGCTCGGAAAGAATGAGTAGATGAAATCATGGATAAAGAGTTTATTACGATACCTAAACTAAGCATTCGTGTCTTTTGCACCGTCAATTGATGGTTGAGGCAGACATTATCCTCCTTTAAGTTGAATGAGAAGAACCCTCGTAAGATATAATCTATTCATAAGTAATAACCTGCACGTATTGAACATAGATTTAAAAATGATATAATTTCTTTTAAACATACAAATATTTACGGCTAATAAAGGAAATTTAGTACCCTAGGTCACCTAAAAAAACAAATAGAGCTACATAAAAATGTAGAAATTAAAACACAGATCATAAATGACCAAGAAAGTGCAACTAAAATAACGAATCAACCAAAGTTTTCATAAGATTTTGATAAATACGGAAGTACCTGAAGGGGAGTAAGATCCTATGGGGGTTCTAAGAAAAGAGCCTTTGATTATGTAAGATGTTGAACATCACACTCTTAGCTATCTGTACTGTATGCCTTCTGCTTGCTAACTGAATGACCGGATATGCCAATGACAACCTGCTAAGCGGACAAAGATGCCGATGGCAAAGAAGAAACCCTGTTAGGCAAAGAAACACCCATGACAATAAAAAAAATAATTGCTAGAAAATAAATCATGCAGCCATTATAGAATAACCACTGAACCGAATTCAATTCACCAACCTTTACTCTCTGCATAGCAATTGCTGGCTCCTAGCCCTTTAGCGGAATAATCTAGTTGCGCTAAAAAAGGGATGAAAAATACTGTAATTAATATGGTGTGGATGAGGGAAAATAGAGAACAACTGTAGGTAGTGAAAAGTGAAAGAAATTATGCAACAGTAGAAAAAAATTGGTGGTCAAGGGAGCTAAGACAACCCTCGAGTAGGAGGCCTTGTAATCCACCCTCATAAAACCCCTCATGGCAGGTAAATATAACCATAATCCAATATATGTTATGATAACCATTTAAAAAATGCAAACTTATAGGGCATATTTGAAACAAATCAATTCCCAAGAAATTCAAATAATCAGTGAAACAAAAAGAACTTCTTGAGTAAAAAAATTAATCTCAACTAAGTACCTCATTTGGCTTTCTATCAAGATCTATAATTTGAGAACCCGTTGTCATTCACATTATCTTTTCCAAATAATCAGATGTTGCTCTCTCATCTGAATCTTTTGCTTGGAAAAGGCGATTGCACCAAAATCTGCATCTCTCCATGTCAAGCTTGAAATAATTATGGTGCGCCTGGTGTTTAATAAGGTAAGTCGTGTTTTGTTTTTTTAAAGAAAAATTAAATGTTAAGGAGTAATAAGAATGGCAGCAACTAAACCCATTTTAGGCAGCCATTTTGTATATGGGCCAGATCTTTGTTGGTTGGATGGATTAAAGCATATTTGCATTTGTATTAAGTTCAATGGATAAGCCACTTGCAATTATAAACATAATTCATCAAACTTTGCACTTCTTGAATATAGTCTTTCTCATTTAGTCTATCACGTTTTCAGTTGTGATATTAGAAAATAGACCTTAAGAGCATAAAACAATATTAGAAAAGAAATCAGCGAGTATACATGAAAAATTCAAGGAGCTTGAGAACATAAAACAATATGTAACATGGTAAAAATACACCTTATCATGAAACTTAGCCCTTTGTTTACTTATTTAAGTATATAAGTTTCATATGTTAATGTCATAGCCATGAAACATAGCCTAAAATTAACACAATAGAAATCAAAGTATGACATGAT